ATAGGCAGCACTAAAGGGCACTGATAGGCAGTACTAATGAGGTGGCACGGATAGGCGGCACTGATAGACAGCACTAATTAGGGGTCACGGATAGGCGGCACTGATATGCAGCACTGATAGGCGGCACTGATAGGTGACACTGATGATGGGTACTGATAGACGGCACTGACTGGCATCACTTCTGGGCACTGACTGGCGGCACTGACTGGCACAACCCCTGGGCACTGACTGGTGGCACTGACTGGCAGCACTGCTGGGCTGCACTGGTGGGTGGCACTGGTGGGCAGCACTGGTGGATGGGCACAGGTGGGTGGCACTGGTGGGCACAGGTGGGTGGCACTGGTGGGCACAGGTGGGTGGGCACAGGTGGGTGGCACTGCTGGGCACATGTAGGTGGCACTTCTGGGCACAGGTAGGTGGCACTGCAGAGTGGCACAGGTGGGGGCACTGCTGGGCACAGGTGGGGGCACTGCTGGGAATGGGTGGGCGGGGCTAGTGGGCGCACTGCTGGGCGGAACTTGCGGGTGTCACTGCTGGGCACCGATCATCAGGGCACTGATCATCAGTGCCCTGATGATCGGTGCCGATCCCCGCTCTGACAACTGCCGGTTCTCGGCAGTACTTTCCTCACGATCTGACAGCGTGAGGAAAGTGCAGCCGAGAACCGGCACTTGCATTTCCCTGTGATCAGCGTGTCATTGGACACCGCTGATCACGTGGTAAAAGGCCGGTGGGATCGGCCTTTCACCACATCACGTGATCAGCTGTGTCCGTAGGACACAGCAATCACGGAGATCGCCGGGTGCGCGCCCCCTGGGCGCGCAGGAGAGCGCGTTCTGGGAGGACGTCATATGACGTCCACTCAGAACTGGCCGGCCGTGGTGAAGCCGTCATTCGGCTATGCGCGGTCGGCAAGAAGTTAAACAACAACTACTATGCAACAAAACCACCTACTAACACTTGTCAAGGCAAACTGGCAGCTGGATGAGTGACTTGCGTACAAAAAATGGCCACTGCCTCAGTCTATAACTGGCCTTCACAGCAAGGAGCACATGGAAGGGTGATGCATGTCAAACAATAAAAAAGAAATATTCCCAGCTCAACTTACCAAGCAGCCTGCAAACAAACCGAATTAGCCTGTCTAACAATATGCGTTAAAAACAGGGGTTTAGTTAGCACACATTTCCAAATACATGCGTAAGCTGCAGAGCCTCTTCACGGCACCCCAAATATTCTGCAGTTCCTAACTCTATGAATTTTGAGAGCCCCATAGTAGAGGCACATGTATTTAATGGATAGACTAAGGGCAGGTGAACCTGAGGGAGCCCACCCCTCCTTATAGGTACAGGAGCGAACTGGACACCCAGCATACAGCACAATAGCAGCCAAGGTGCCCAGTGCACCCCCTTACCAACAAGTCAACAGTACAAAAATAGCCACTGCCGCAGTCTATAACTGGCCTTCACAGCAAGGAGCACTTGGAAGGGCGAGGCATGTCAAACAATAAAAGAGAAAAATTCTCAGCTCAACTTACCAACAAGCTTGTAAACACACTGAATTTGCCTGTCTAACAGTATGTGTTAAAAACAGGGGTTTATTTAGCACACATTTGCAAATACATGTGTAAGCTGAAGAGCCTCTTCACAGCACCCCGATATTCTGAAGTTCTTAATTCTATGAATTTTGAGTGACTCATGACTTGTCACTAAGGGACACAAGACACTCTTTGTCTCAAGCTTTGAGATTCCATCTTGAAGGCACCCCAAGATGGGAACCCCTGATCTAGAAAATAGAAAATGCATCAGTCCCTCACATAATGCAATAAGATCCACAAGTTGATTCTGCAACTTCAAGAGCCTACAAGCAAAGGACAGGATGGAATGGCAATGGCAGAATCTACTACTATAGTGATAACTGGAAATTGCAGCTACTTTCCCTCAACTAATGTGCACATGAGTTGCAGTGGTCAGTGATAATTGTGAATGGCTACAGAAGGCTTGAGTTTTATCATGAGTATGTAAGGGAGCTTGCAGGCCCGGACTGGAACAAAAAATAGGCCGGGCATTTTATACTGAGTAGCCAATTTCCGGGTGGGGGGGGCATGTGTGCAAGGGCATTCGCAGGGCCAGTTGGTGACAGGATATTCACGGAGTCGGTCCTCCGCACTGTAATATAAAGGGGCACTGTGACATAAAGGGGACTGCACTGTAAAGGGGCACTGTATTGATTACAGTGCCCTTTTACAGTGCAGTCCCCTTTATATCACAGTGCCCCTTTCCATTACAGTACCCCTAGCGATCTAATCACAATGCCCCCTATATATTCAAAGAGATGGCTCAATCCAGCAAAGAGACATCCACATATAGCAAAGACGGGATGTCTCTTTGCTGGACAGGGATGTCTCTTTGCTGGATGGGAATGTCCCTTCTTGTTGTCCAGCAAAGAGACAGCTCATCCAGCAAAGAAACAGCCCCATCCAGCAAAGAAACAGCCAGCCAGCAAAGAGACAGCCCATCCAGCAGAGACAGGCCCAACCACCGCTGCTACAGAGCTGTCACAGTGTGCCAGTTGGTGAAGAAGAGAGGCCGCTGTTGTCCCTTCAGAGCAGCGGTAGGCAAAGGAGGTGTCCATGTGTCAGCGGCGCTTCCTGCTTGTCGCTGGAGCCGTCACTGCTGCTCCTCCTGTAGGCCCTGCTTTAGGCATAGCCGCACAGTGGGAGGTGAGCGGCGGCTGCAGTCTGTATTAGCCCCGTCCAGACTGTGGTCGCTGCTTACCTCCCCCTGTGCGGCCCAGACATCTTAAGCCCAGCAGCCCTGGCTCACCAGGCAAATGCCTGGTGTGCCCTATTGCCAGTCCGGGCCTGGGAGCTTGTGATTGGCTGATGGTTGGTGCCAAATGGTACAAGTACCTGTCCCACATTTTCTATGATAGGACAGCAATCCACCTGCTGGTAGCCCCTATACATCCACCATCTTGTGCCCATCTCCTTGTCAGATGCCTTCATGCGCCATCTTTGGCTATTAGAGTTTATATTCAAAAGCCCACACAAATGATATAGTTTCTGCACTTTACTGTGTTCTCCAGAAGATGCCATGTTATCACATAGACATATTATCCAGGGTTGCTTGCCATTACTTTGCCAATCACACATATGGTGGACGTATCGTAACAATCATTATGTAAAAGCAGCACATAACACATCACGCTCAAGCCATCTTTGCTTTGGCATAGTCTTTCTGCTCCCCAGGTTCATTAGTACTCACTGAGAGGTTATGACTTGCCATAGGCCCATTGCATCCATCTCACGAATCCCTGCATGTTGTTCCTGAAATAGGACTGTTGCAGCTGTTCGTCTAGCTCAGCAAATTTCTCCCTGGACTTCCAGGAGATTAGCACTCATGACAGAGAACACTTGGCCTGGCCTAAAAGGCCTTTTACAGCCCACTCTTAGCCTCCACCAACCATGAAGAGACAGTAAGACTACAGCTGGTTCTTCTGGGTAGAGAACTATCTCAACCTTACCTCCCTGCCCTGTCCAGGTCCTCTGCATAGCTGACTGCATCTACATGCTGGTTGGTTATCTGGCTTCCATGCCCCATCTGCCCTTGGCTCCTCCTAATGCATTAACTTTACTCATGACATCCTACATGACGGCTCTAGCTAAATATGACCCAACACCCAATTACACTATTCCCTGTTACCACACACAATTTTGGGACAGAGCCATATAGAAGAAGACTAGCTAACTGCACCTGAACTTGCTTACAAGTAGAGCTGGTCCTTAGGAGCTGTGTAATAAAGTGGTTGTAAAGGCTCAAGGTTTTTTATCGTCATGCATTCTATGCAGGAAGGTAAAAAAAAAATCTTCTTTGTGCAGCAGTGCCCACAGCCCCCTCAATACTTGCCTGAGCCCCTTTGCAAACCTGTGATGTGCACAAAAGCCTTCGCTCTCCGGGGACTCTCCCTCCTCATTGGGTGGATACCCCCACAGCAAGCTGATTTCTCTGGGTGCACTTGGCAGGAGTTAGGGACCAGGACTGCCAGTGGGGGACAAGAGAAGAAGAAGATTGGGGCTGCTCTATGCAAAACCACTGCACAGAGAAGGTAAGTATGACATGCTTGGTTTTTTTTTGTTTTTTTTTTAATTGCCTCACAAAGACTGCCATTGGTCATGGGACACTTGCAAAGCAGTGCGAAGAGAGAAATCTCTTATGTAACTGAGCCCTGAATGGAATCCATACAAGAGGAACATGTAATTTAGTTTATTGTATAAGTATATAAAATTTCAAAGTACAAACCCAATGACGTATTCCACTAAACACTCTGAACAGAAAATTAAAATTGCTACACGGCCAGGACTTCATAAGACTGACTACATCTGCAAGTTTAGGATATTAGTTTACGCATTCAGCATCCAAATTGTGAAAACAAGAGATTTTATTAATTTTTAATATTCCAATTAATTTATTTTCCAAAGCACAAGTGATCTGATCTAGAACATCTTATAAAAGCTTTTGCAGCCAAATTGGGATAACACCTACTTTATATTTGTTATGTGTTACTATTCACATAGCATAGCTTTAGAAATTAGTTTTAGAAATTGTTGCTTGCTCTTTTCTGAAAATGTCAAAGCTGAAGTTTTCCCTTTCAATGTAATATTAAGGAGGGGCTGGGGAGTTATGCTTACCATAATAAACCTTGCTTGCGCTTTGCTGGCAGATCCCATTATCAGCTATAATCTAGACGGGCACACTTTCTGTCTTCACAAAGGTTTAGAGATCTCAAGACTTGGGTGCAGGGGCAGACTGACTATTTGGAAACTCGGGCACTGCCCGAGGGCCCGGGGTCAGTAGAGGGCTCCATGAGATGCCCCTGGTACCTGTTTCATAGGCTTATTTGAGTTTTGGCAAGGACACAGGGGCCCCATGATCCCCTATTGCCCGAGGGCCCCATGAGTTGTCAGTCCACCCCTGCTTGGGTGATACATTGCATGTTAATACTCTTTTAAACTAGTCAGTGTCTAAATCTGTCCCTTGCACATTTTTCTGAACAATGCAAGCTGCCTATAGAAGTCTATGTAATACTGCACCACAGAAACAACTAGACAGGTAAAAAAGTATGCTTTGTAAAGAGGTACACATAAAAAAACACATAGTGGCGGTTTCTCAAATTTAGCTGCAAGCTGGAAAAAACACTTTAAAGTAACAAAACTGGGCGATTGAGACGGAGAAGTGTAAAAAAATAAGATTTTCTTTTATGATTGCATTTTTCTATGATAATTTCAAGGGGTAATAAAGCATAAAAATACAACAGGGATTACAATCCTATATCTATATATATGTATATATATATATATATATATATATATATATATATATATATACAACTTCTTTCTCAAATAGATGAAGGATTGTTCACTACATACAATATTTGGTATACCTTTTGGGTTTTTTTTTTTTCTCTTCATTGGTAAGTAGATTTTAATTTATTAAACATGCATTTAAAATGATCAGTATATCCAGAGATATTTAGCTCTACCCTCCAAACCTTTAATGTATGAGGCCGCCTAAATGACCAATAGAAGCCCAATTAAAGGCCAAGCTCCATTTTAGAGGAAAATGCGGAATTTGTTTGATTTCAGCCACTTGTATCTATTGATCTACTTATAATTTTGATGTGTACTACACTGAAGGTTACGTCTTCTTGTCCATTTGTTCATCTCATTCTTAGGTTGAATTGCTCAGGTCTGTGACAGTTTTTTAAATTGTACCTATGGCATACTCTATAGCAGGTAACCTAGCTGTTTCTATTCATTTACATATTGCCCCAGGAGCCTTAAAACTCAAGGCAAATTATTATGCAAATTTTGACTAGGAGAAGGTCAGACTCTGGGTTGTTCTTATCCCCATCTTTTTACTGGCAGTTAAATTGGATACATGGTATTACTGATTTGTAGAGAGGACCCATCCAGCCAGGCTTAGGTTGAAAGGTGCAGAAAACAGTGCTCTGAGTTTTGGGGCACCTGAGAACTCATATAGAATGCTGACAACAAGACACTGTGGGGCTGATTTACTAAAACTGGAGAGTGCACAATTTGGTCCAGCTGTGCATGGTAGCCAGTTAGCTTCTAACTTCAGCTTGTTCACTTAAGCTTTGACAATAAAACCTGGAAGTTGATTGGTTTCTATGCAGAGCTGCACCAGAATTCGCGCTCTCCAGTTTTAGTAAATTAACCCCTTTCTATAAAGTCTAACATTTTCAAGCTATTTATTCATTTGCTCTAACCCCATTTGTCACAAAGCATGGTAGGTGAAATTGAGTACTGTATCAAAGGCAGAATGCTATCTGCTTTATATACAGGTAAAACAGAGATACCTAAAATACCCCGCAGAGACACATTGAGAATGGAAATCTATCTTTTTTATAAGATGCTGAATGTCGTGTGCATCTCACTATAAATGCCGAGAAATGGGAAGTAGAGAAAATGTAAGAAACAAAACCAACAGAAATGTGTTGGACTTAAATCTTCCATTCTGAATTTTCGATAATAGGTCAGGTGGCAGGTGGGAGTGTTACTAGATTTTTGCATCCATTGCTCATGCCCAGATCTTCTATTGAGTGCTCTAGATGTATTTATAGTAACTGTTTCCATTATCCCAAGTATGATTCTATAGACATAAGTATATCAAACCTTTTTTTTCACATCCCTGTGCTAAAAAAGGAAATGTTGCCCCACAGTTGTGATGGATTATTTTGGTATATAATTTAATGAATTAGGGAATCTGGACTTTTATTTTTTTTATTTTAATCAACTGCTGGATTCCTACATTTACTTGTACTTCACAATGTATATTTAATTTCATAAATTATTGTGCACCAGTGAACAATTCGTTTTTTTACATTCAATCTACAATATTATTTGGAATATTATGCAGTTTATCTTCTTTTAAATTAATTTATTATTCCTTTTTTTAAGTATGTGATGCATTTGATTTTCTAATTCAGTTATGCCACCCTATTTCTGAATTCACAGAACTGATCTAATAAGGATTTTTTTTTTATACCATAGAAACATAGAAAAGTGATGGCAGAAAAAAGATCAAGTGGCCCATCCAATCTTTCCATTTTTTTTATGCATGTTTTTGTTATTTTTGTTTTTTATGTCTTTTTTGTGTTTTTTTCTTGTTAACGTTTTGTGTCTGAGTAAAGATCTGCGGGAGTTATTTACTAAAACTGGACAGTCAAAAATTTGGTGCAAGTCTGCATAGAAACCAATCAGCTTCCAGGTATTATTTTCAAAGCTTAATTGAACAAGCTGAAGTTAGAAGCTGAATGGCTACCGTGCACAGCTGCACCAGATTCTGAGTGCACTGGTTTTTGTAAATCTGCCCTATTTTTGTCACAAGCATCTTCGAATCAACCTACTGTTGACCGACTCACTACCTCTGCTGGGAGTCTATGCCACACACCTACTACTCTTTCTGTAAAATAATACTTTCTAAGATTAGTTTTGAACTTTTCTCCTGCTGGTTTGAAGTTGTATCCCCATTTTCATGATCTTGGCTTCATATTAAAAATACTGTCCTCCAATGGCAATGAAATTTATTGTCAAGCATCTGTGTGCTTTTATTTGGTTTAAACGACATGTAGGTAGTATAAGGTATGATGGGACTAGTAATGAGGAAGTCTCCTTTTGAGAATCCTTCTGAGTGCCTTTGCTTTGCTTACCGGGAACTGCTGTCTGGGTGCCCAACGGTGGCCCAGGTCTTTTTATTTCTGTATTAACACCTCTGCAGCAAGCCTAAGCTGATTCCTCTGTTTTTTCCCCCCTATGAATATCTGTCAGCCAAAATGATAAAATAAACAAGACTACAAATAGAAGTTATATACATTCTAATGTATTTATTTGACTTTGTAATGCTCATGTGCAGGTAAATGCAGCTTATAGCTGTGTGTCTTCAGCTTATGTCAACAGATTGCAGGCGATCAGCAGGAGGCGCTGGGACATAGCAAATTTTTTCCTTTCCACTCGTACAAGGATTTCTACTACCTCCAAGAGTCAACAGTTCTTCAATTATATTGCAGCTGAAGGGGAGAAATCCTCAGCATCTGTAACCTCTGAGACCACAGTTCGATAACTGTCAGCATTGTTTGAGGGGCTTGTTTGCATTGTTTTGCATTGCAGTTTACTTTAGCTTTGAGGCCACTGGTTTGCTCACATTCCAGCCCCCCCCCCCCCCCCAATTATTTCCCATATTTACATTCTCCGCTTCTTCTTCTGTATCTATCTGGAACATTTAACCCTGCTCCCTTCTGAAAACCTCTTCCATTTTGTTTGCTCTCCTGTGTGGAACAGAATAACCATTTTTTTTTTTATGGGAGCTTACTGGAATTTCACAGCTTGTGAACTTTTAACCCATTAAAGAACACAATTCATGTGTCCAACACTTGTGGTAAGGCTTATCTGCCATTGAATGTGTTAAATGTTTTGTTTCAACTCAAGACAAGAGCTTTCATGCCAATACTTTAAAGGCCGTCCTTAGCCAACATTTTAATTTCTTTAGTTTTAATAGCATGAGGAATAGTTAGAAAGCCTGTTAGACATTTCTTGCTGTCTGTGACTCCATTGGGGAAATTTCATCTCATGTTTTATCTTTGTGATGCCAGGACAAAAGAATGAGAGAAGCAGGGGTTACTGGGACAGGAGACATTGGTAGCCATAAAAAGCCCCATGGGTGCTTGTTCCTCCCTCTAAAAATGTGGAGAGACCCCTGGGGAAGAAAGTGAGGGGAGATTTCCCCATTGAGAACATGGAGCAGCAGTAAAAGCCAAGATTGGAAGCCTTTGTCACAAAGCAAGGTGGTTTAGTTGGAGTTGGGCTTTAAGTATAAATATATTTAGTTATTTCTGATCCCATGACAAGTTTATGGCCACAGCATAATCAGCCACTCCAAGCATGATCCTAACAATCAGAGTCATGTATATCAGCTTGGTATTCTATAACCATGCATGCTCAACTCCCCAAGTGTACATGTTTAAGTAAATGGAGAAGGGAAGAGAGATTATGTAGCATGGATAGACCCCTCCAGGTGCTGGCCTATCCCAGGGCCAGACGTGATCTTCACTTTTGTCTGATAGATCTTCCAACACAACAGCAGTCAACAGATGAGGTGCTGCCATTAACATGGAACAACATTAAAACTCCTCCAATCTGACCAAAACAGCTGGAGCAGAATACATTTGTGGCAACATTTAAGGTTCCCATGGACATTAGATAATCATCTGATGAAATAGTACCATACAGCATGTCAATGGTACCTTAAGTGGGTTATAAGTATGATCAGAAAGGTCAGAGTAAGTCTGATCTAAATGTACGGGCAGTGTATGAGCACACATGATTAGACCTCCTTCATGCTAAAATATTGCTTATGCCACACATACAGGTTGATGCCAGTGTAGATGGAAAGAAGAAGAAGAGAAGACACTGCTAGAGCTGGCTTTGTAATGAGAAACAACAATGATTGGGTCAGGGTTTTCTAACTGGTTTATAAGCTCATTCTCTAAGACAGCAACGGACTGTCCACAAAATAAGGGCTTAACAGGTCACCATCATCTTATGTCTCTGTGTACCATCTGGCAAGCCTTTGATATGAAGTCTAGATGACTAAAAGATTTGTTTTTAGTCAATTACCTTTTCATCGATGACAGAATATTTCCACCTTCCTTTCAGACTTTACTTGAGAAGTGCAAATTGAAAAAATTGTATCCTTTATGGAGAGATGCTTGCATAATGCTGGAAGATCACAGCCACTGGGGACTTTGGTGCTCTAGCAGATGTGCATTTTGATTGTTTTTCATATAGATCCCATACTTTCTGTTATCAGTTATATTATATGCAAAATGTAAAATCAGAATGTGCTATTTGATACTTCATGTTGTCCACTTTTTTCTGAAGAGATATTGTTGGATTGTACAACTCTCCAATCTAGAGATACCAGAAAGGAAAGGACCATTTATTACTTCAGCAGGCATGTGACTGTAATATGCAGTGGAAAAAC